AACAAAAAAAAAAACACCGGTTCCCCGTCACAGGTGATAAACTGCCCCAAAAACGCATAAACGTAAGTTTGCTGAGCGTGCCTCCTCTTCGGTGAATGCTGCCCGCTGGCCGTCCCAAATGGACCGCAAGTTGTTCAGGTGGTGGGTCAGTCTGGATAACTTGCTGAGAAGAACCTTGGTAAGCTGGGCATTCTGACGCCTTCTGGCATCCCCTGCTCTGCTTGATTGTTATCGCGACATGGTCCACATGTCTCAGCATACCGATCTTCATGTTCTGAATCCCGCCTGTCGCTTCGTGTCCCAAATGGAGATTTGCATCTGTCTGCTGGCTGCCAGCTTCTCAGCATACCATTCGGCACGAAAGTCCAAATGTTCCTTCCTCCTCTCGAAATGGCGTCGAAGCTCGTTGTGCCATCGTATCAGAAGGATCCTCTGGATGAGGCAGGCTGTGAATACCATCCAATGGATGAGATCTTCAGCAGAAACGTCGTCGCCATTTTTCACCATTCCCAAACCTGAGGTGGAAAACTTCTATGCAGCTACAGACATCTACACGACAGGAAGCCCGCCTCGATTTCTATGCGCTCCGAGCCACTCTGAAACAGTGCTCCGAGCCTCCAGGAGTCACTGGCGGATGCCATGTCTGACAAAGTCCCGGAATGGAATAGGTAGTGGCACTGCTCCCTGGATACAAATCTGGAAACTTGGACCGGAGCCCCTTCGACTGTTCCGGGCAGGCGCATGGGATGCGGGCAGGGGAAGATCGGCGTCTGGCTAACGGTCAAAGCCAAAATAACAAGCATGTTGAAAATTCCGATGGCCTTCGCCGGCCAGACGAGCGCTTTGACTGGGTCATAGTACAACGTCGCATTGCTTGCTGAGCTTGCACTGACAAGCGTGAACCACAAATATCCCATCTGAACCACGTTGAAATATGGCTGGAGTGCGAAAGCTGCCAGTAGACAGACTGAAGTAAACAAAGTGGTCACCAACAGAATGACCAGCTTCAGGTGTTCGCCTCTGAAATAGGCAATACTCCCGACTCGTTCTCGAAATCGATCGGATGCTGCATGGAGAGTTCTCCTCCACTGCGGCCTCTCTTGTTCTGCAGGTCTTCTTGGTGGCGCGTTGACCCAGTGCTGCTCCGCTCGCAGGACCCAGCATAAACCGAACAAGATCAGGAAAGAGGGGACAGACAGGCCCTGCCTAATGCAGAGCCAACTTACGAAGTCGCGTCCGCAACGTTCTCGCTGTGACATACACCCCTGCAGGGCTTCATGGACAACTGCATCGACACGTGCACCGGACGATGGCTAAGCCGCTAAGCACAGGAAAGAGTACATTGCGACAAGGGGCTGGAGAGCCAGGTATGCAGGGTTGTCCTTGCAGGTTCCGGGCCAAGTCTGGGTCCCAGGGATCATAGTTCTGACAAGCCTTCCAGTGTGCGATCGTCTCCGGCTCAGGCTTTGGACTTCCCAGCCCAGGTGGAAGCCAAAGCTCAATGCAGACTTCAAAGAACAGACTGAGGAAAAGCCCTCCTGACATGACCTGTGCTTCGTGTGGGCAGCTAAAGTTGTAAGCCTATACAGATTCTAGAGAGACATCGCTGAAAACTTGTCAATGCAATGCCTTCATCCACAATTTGGACCGATCAGGCAGGCGGGCTTGTGTTGGCGGACGGACCATATCACCGCTAAAGTAAAAGGCGGCCACGGCCGACAACGGCAGCAAACCTGCCAGATGTTGCGACATGCTGAGTAAGGCCGTGCTCGCCTCCTGTTCTCTTTCCCATCCGTATCCCTCTGTGAAGTCTGAAACACGAACTGCCCTTGCAGTGAAGCAGCACCAAAGTGTCTGCTCCACTGTGGCCACGAAAACGATGGCGACAGCCGCAACTTGCGGCGCTGCCAGCAGCAACATCTTCATCTCTTCGACCGGGTCGCTTTGCCTCCACGCGACTGCCTACGCAAACCGTACGTTTGCTTGAATCATCTTGAATCTACATGTACACCCTCTGAACTCCATCGAGAGCTGCTTGACAAGTCTTGCTATCACGCCTCAATGCATCCTGCCAAGCTTCCGGGAGATCTTCCCCTGGGCTACTGGACACTGCTATTCCCAAAAGAAGCGAGGCTCTACATGGCAGGTCGTCGGTGGCTCCTGGATAGCCGGGATATATATATATATATATCCTTTCTTTTCGGAGTCGGGGGGATCGGCGTGATTGGTTGAAGGCAGCCGTAATCGCCACAGGGAGACTTGCTCAATATGCTGAACCATGAGATGTTCGAAAGAAGTGCAAAAACAACAATGCTGCAACGGGTGTCGAGTTGTAGATTGCCTTTCTTGAGGTGTTGGGCCCAAGTGGTCCAAGAAATCGTCGTTCGTCACTTCCTCACTTCCCTTTGTTGCTGCTATCCTTATATCTCTGCCGGGCCACTCTGCTCCAAAGGCTCCGAAACTGTGCGCGAAACTGCACGGTTGCCTGACAGGTGTTCCGACTGCACAGCTTGCTTAGAGTGCAGTAGGAGTTTGACCATCCGAGGGCGCTTTGATGCAGCAGAAGCCTTCCAATGATCCCAAGTCAATCGTTAGCGCCGTTGCCAGGACTCTGGTTGCTCGTGCCCTTTCACAGGCATCCTTCGCAGCTGCGGCGTGAAATTGCAGGATGGTATAGATCTTGGCTAAGATGAGGATGAAAAGTTGTCGGCAGACCTGAGCCGAAGTTGCTTCAACGTCTGGGTGACCGGCTTGCACGCACAAATTTTGCTTATGCCGGAGCTGAGCGCACGTCTCTACCGTCTCTAACTACTTGTGCCGCATATCCGGCCACTGCGATTAGACATGGGGCAACAAGTGCTTGCAGTCAGAAGTCCACTCCCAAATCCTTGGCCAAGCCCCAATAGACCTTGGCCTCCTCCTTCACAAGTAAATCTTTGCGGGAACGTCTAACTCGTGCATGTACAATGTACATCTGATTTTGCAGGCACGTGCAGGGACTTGTCTGCACATGTGCACATCAGAGAAAGTAAGGTAAGAAAGTGCAGTTAGGGACATATGGGGACATGAGGGCAAACGGACGAAGATCGCCCACACAAGTACACATGCGGCGCCGGCACATTGCAGTGCGGGCACGCCTCCATCCGCAACAACTCCCGAACCCGCATGCGTGTCTCTGTGTGGGGTGTGCTTCCACACAGGCAGTCACATGCACGCCGTACGCACCGACATTCCTCCCTCCATGCAGTGACATGCACATAGTTGCAGGATCAAGCAGCTTTGGCCGAAGCCGATTTAGAATCATCCTACGAAGGTGACCGCTCTCAGTGCGGCAAGTCTGAAGAAGCCCACGCCTTCCCCGCCCCTTTGCTGCGATGTGCAGTCTGACGTGCCTTTCGGCTGCATGTTAGGACACGTGCAAACATTTCTAAGCGAAACTTCTGTGGTGAAATCAAAACCTCATCCATTCAACACTTCCCCAACTCACCCTCTTGGCACCGTCAACCCTGCATTACACGTGGAATTTCCCGCACTTCGTGGCTCTGCGTCAAATCTCTTTGACGTCATGGACTGTTTTCGTGACTGCATTCCGAATGCAATCTCGAGACAATCTCCCCTGGACTTTCTGACTGCAAAGTGGCTGCATGATTAACTGGAAAGCCCCGAGTCCTCCTGACATGCCGTGCCAGCCGATACAGCAGCTCTTTTGAAGATTAGAGTGATTAGAGCCGACAAACCGATTGTGTAGGCGGGACGAGTGGGCACATGTAAGTGTCTAACGCAGCAGACTCATGTACTTGTGCATTGCAAAGTCCTCGTCTGGAGGCCATCGGATCAAGTCCAAATGAGCAAAGAGCTGGGCCACTAAAGCCATGCCTGCACAAAGGTCCCTCGGGTGCCCTGGGCTCTGGAAGTCCGATGTTCTGGTTTTGCTCCGACACGTTTGAACACTCTCGTTTGGGAGTTTGGGGACGGATATGTCCTCTCTGCGTCTTGGGTGTTACACTCTTTGCACCAGTTTCGAACATCAGCTCTCTGCATAGCCCCCTGAATTTCCTAGTTGTACTGTAGTTGGAACATGCAACAGGTTCGACTACGCCTGCGCTTGCGGAAAAGACGTCCCCGGTCCAATGCCATGGGTTTCCAACCACGAGCAGCACAAGGCAAGAGATGAGTTGGACAGTCCCAACCAAGTCTTTGGGAAAGGTCGTAACCTCGGGAGATTCCAGCATAAGCCCATCAGCCAGTATCTCAGTCTGCTCAACACAGCATTCTCGATCAGGTCTCAGCTGCGGGCCAGCAGGAAGACACCCAAAATCAGGACCTCTGAGGACCGCCGCTGCGCGAATTCCAGGAGCTCCGCTCGCTGCGGTATCTCCATTGGAGGCGTGGAGGCGTGGTGGTTTGGGCTTTTTGCCCTTGCTTTTACGATTCCAGCTGTGTAGCTTCAGGATACAACACAGGTTGCTCATGCTGTTGCAGATGAACTGGCTTTGTGGCTTCGTTTCGGTACTTTGGCCCACCGCTTTGTCAGCTCTTTGGACAGCGGGAGCTCTCGAGCCTCTGCGACAAGGTCAACCTCTTCGTGGCTACATTGGCATCGCCTGAGCTCATGCCGACCATGTGTCTCCACTGGCAAATACTACAATGAACCTACACTGACCCCCAAATGCTGCCCTGTGTTGAACATGGGTCGAAAAGGCCTCTGCACGTGCTCCGCTTGCAACATACCATGGTATCCTCGAGCAAACAAGAACTTCATGGGCATTCATGGGTCTCAAGGCCTCGTGGGCTCGCAGGCCGTGATCGCGCAAAAGCAGAGCCACGCTAAGCTGAATGCTCCGCTAAAAGGAGAAGCCTCGCCTGGGCAGCTTTCCAGGCCATCGCTGTCACTTCGAGGGTGGGTGCGGTGGGTGCGCAATGTCATGACGGCGCATGGACTTCACCCGAAAACTCCTCAGGCCATGGCAGTCAACACCAGGAGCCGACATGCACAGGGTGCATAAGTCGCGACTTTCAGCAACCTCGGCAGCGGTCGAACCCTCAGAAGGCCGGCCGACAAGCTTGTACAGTACTCGCGGCTCATATGTTGAGCCTTTCGGGACCGCTGTCACTTCGAAGCTTCGGCATGGTACCTGATGCGAAGCTGCCTGGCTAATTGCGACTACACGATGCATCACGATGCCCTCTTGGAGACCTAGGCCTGCAGCTTTGATTCACAAACCAACACCAAGTCAGACAATGCCGAATCTAGATGACCTTCCTGGCTGGTGTTGCTAGTGAGCTGATTTCGGCCTCTCGATTCAGCGTCTCCGATTCAACAGTCAAGGTTCGGTAGCCGAGCTGGAGCTGAAACAGTCAGTGGCGAAGTTTGCGAACACAAACTGCATGTTACGGCGGTTACGGTGTGGCACTGCACTCGGAGCCTCGGCAACCGGCTGACAGATTCGTCAGGCATAGCTGTCACAGACAAAGGACAGGTTCGTCGTTATCATGTATATACACTCTCCACGCAGGCTCTGGGACGCATGGATCTTGGATCCAGCATCGTGGGGCCTGTTGAACAGTCCCGCAGCAGTCACAACAGCAGAGCCGATAAGACGGCCACGGCCTCACATGCTTACCTCCACCTGTGCGCCACCGGCTGTCCACTTGATCTGTCCGGGAGCCTTGCGAACCCTGCGACTCTGACCGATGCTGCGCTCCATTGCACGGAGGTGCTCATTGGTTTCGGACTGCGCCTGGTAGACGCTCTCCAACCGATCCTCGAGTTTCTCGGTCTGTTGCTTGAGGGCGAACAAGTCCACAGACCGTGCTGTGCCATGCAGTTGGAGACACCTCTGCGCAAACTCCTCGTAACTAATCAAGTGGTCCCCATCTGCATCCAGGCTGTCAAACAGAGTCCAAGCATCGACTGCACTAACCTCAGTAGCGCATGAAACCTCAAGAAATGGCAGTAGTAGTGTCGTCGTCGTCGTAGGAAAAGTGGAGCAAGTATACTGTATAGGTCTTCTTTAGGTTGAAGAGAAGGCTACGAAAGCTAGGGGAAGGAAGAAGAGCAGGGACAGGGTGGGGCGACTCGTCAGTCGAATCTATTGCAGCACAGACTCGAGCGCAGGCTTGGTGTAACTATGCACAGCTTAAAGATTTCCTGGATGTACTGGCATTTTCGGGCCGGCACAAACCAACCGGCTTTTTGCCTCCTAGGGGATCACAACCAATTGTCGCGCTCGGCCGCGTAAAAGTGCCGTGGCGCTAAATCCTCCAAGTCGACACCCTAACCATTCGTAGACAACAGCTACCACTTGCCATGGTGCTTGATCGAATCTAAGTCGACGCACGAAACCTACGCAAATATACATAACGCGCAGACGTCAAGCAACATCACTGAACAGCCGCAAAATCAATTGCCATATTGCTTACACTGGCTTTCACATAAAGGGAGGGGTGGGATGGAGGTGAGGGGAAGGCCCCCGCCCCCGACCTTGTGCCATGCCACTGCCACCTTGATGTTTACAAAATATTCTTTGTGAATCAAACATATGCATGGTGGCCGGCAAGGGCGCACCCCCCCACCCGGATTTGGACCAGAAACACGATTGAGGGAATTGGAAAACGGCAACTCCCGCAAGCTCCGCAGAGCTAGCTTTCCTCACTATTAGTCATTAGTCGTTGTCGTTAGGGAATCGTGCTACTAGTATAGTTCCAGTAGTCTCGTCGTCGTCCCCGAAGAGATAGTAGCATTAGTGCAATGCCAGATATCTTACTAGAGTCCTCGTCGCAGTTGCACAGGCACCTGACCTGTCAAACAACATACTCGACAACAGCACAAACACGGCTTGAGCAAACAAGTTACCTCAATGGCAGCAAAGAAAGCCACCAAATCTTCGTCTTGAAAAATCTGCTCGAATTCGGTAATGGTGATCTGCCCGAGGCCCGTGGAGTCGATCTTCTTCCACAATTTGGCCACCAGTTGCTTGAATGCATGCACGTGCTGCATTAGCGTTTCGTGGTCTCTCTCCCTAGTCTTGATGGCGGAGTTCACGAACACCCCAGTAATCACGTTCAGCAGGGCAAAATCACCGAAAGCCACGTAGATATGAAAGAGCTGAACCCACCATAAACCCATTGGGGACAGAGCTTCCGCTGCCTCGATCCAGTCAAACCCTGCCAACAGCGTCCTGAAAAGTGTTGTGCTGGATGCATACACTCCACCAAAGTACAGTTGAAGCTTTTGGAGATGTGGCTCGGATGCATAGGCTTCATGGCTATCCAAGTACTGCAGGGATGCGTCTGTGAACAATACTCCGAAGGAGTAAATTACCAACACGAGTAGGACCACTGCCCACACAAGCTGGCGAACGGTGTCAAGCACCGAGATCACTAGCTCCCGAAACGCGCTGATGAAGCGAACCAGTCGGACGGACCGAATCACTTGAAGCACACGGGTGACTCTGAAAACGCGGATGATGCGGAAATTGCTGTTGGATGTGCCAGCGCCCATGTTCTGCAGTTCCACAAAATCGACAACAAGCTCGATCCAGGCTGGAAAGACGATGAACGTATCAAGCCAATTCCATGCAAAGTCAGGACCACAGAGAAAACCATGAGGCCCGGTTGCAGTCAAGCGAATAAGCATCTCCATCGTAAACAGAACAGCATAGCAGAAGTGGCCAAACAGGAACCATCTTGCCGTGGAGCCATCAACGTCATGAGCACTGACCTCGAGCTGCAGCCCGAGAAAAATCGAGTTCGAAATAATCACCACGGCTACCGCCAAGTTGAAGGCCACAGATTTGGAAATCCTTCCGGCCCAGTGCTGACCTGAGAGCAAGCAAGCGCTATATTGTGTGTATATAATATATATATATATATATATGTATATATAACTTGTTCTTCCCACTTGGTCGGGGGAAATTCTGGAGGCAGCCAAGCTGCAGACATGTGCCATTTCCATTCGCTGAGACGTCGTCGGTGCAGCATCAGCAGATTTTTGTCTCTTGAGGGTGTCCACACGATGGCCTTCTTCCTTCGCCTCTTCGTACTCATGAAGGGCCTTTCGGCGTCCCTTCACTGGTGTTGCCTGCCCTGACTTTATTGGCGTTGCCTGCCCTGACCTTAGTGGCGTCTCCTGACCTGAAACACCCTGATCCCTACCCTGATCTGGCCAGCTCTCTACTTGAGGTGGGAGAAGCAACTGGCCATGAGGTAAAGAATCCAGGTCACTCTCTTCAGAGTTAATGCGTAAGGCTGGTCCCTCCAGGACCCTGTCGTCCAACAGAAGCTCAACCCTGGATGTGAGCACATCGAGTCGATTGAGAAGCTGTTGGTGCTGACTCCTCAACAATGCAGGGAGCTCATCTGCCATGGCAGGCTTGTGGCGCTGTGGTGACTGCCGCAAACAGTAAAGCGTTGTGCTGACAAGACTTGTCAGCCATGTCATGTGCATGAACGAGGTCAGTGCACTATGATGAACTGTCTGCAACGATACAACCTGAACAAACGGCCCCCGTTGCTGATCTGCAGAGATCGAGCCCAGGTTTCACAAGTTATACCGATGTCTCCAAACTTTGCGCTGCCCACAAGTCCCGCAAATCATCGGACGACTAGACAATGCAGAACGCAAAACAGAATTCCAAATTGCAGAGAGAAAGAGCAGAGCGATGGCACCGCGCAGCCCTGTCAAAAAAGGACAACAGTCGTTGTACTCGTGATGTAAAGCGTATGCTGCTCGACATCCTTGTATTATGACCAAATATGACCAAATAAGTTTGAGATAAAGCGGCATTCTCTTGTACACAGACATGCGCTGAGCTCTCATTCTTGTGGGGACAGGAGGGACCTGGCTTCTCTTGCTATGGACAAACTGTGCGCCTCTCTGGGTTCCGGCCGCTGGTAAGGGATTAAGGGGACAGTTTCTTCTTCTCTGTGATTGACAGAAGAGTTCTCTTCCCTCGCTTTCAAAAAGGGCGCTGATTATCAAGAAGCAAAGGAGCTGTTTGGTATATTTGGTATCGTCTAGCTGAAAGAAGCTCTGTCATACGCACAGGTACACATATACATACTGCTCAAGAAGATGCTGGCCATGCATGGCATGACTACAGAACACTTCAGCGACTTCTCTGCAACAACCAGCTGCGAGACAATACTTTGCCGAGACATCGAAAAGGACTGCTCCATCTGGTGTGCTTGGGACGTACCAGCTCCTCTTACCGTCTAGGCTTGCTACAGAACCTTGTCGTCGTTTTGGGGAGCCACTTGGGCTGCTGCGAATCGGCCCGCCGAACGAAGGCCTTTCGGGTCAAAGGTAAGCTGCTGAACTGTGCACGTCGTTCTGCTTACACACCTCTACACTAATTTGCACGGGGCGCACTGACATGCTCTGACAGCACAAGGGCACAGCCTGCAGAATAGCAGACTGCACGTTGCCCTTGTCCGCACAGCGGAGATCAACCTTGATAGTTCAGCTTTTTCTTACAGTATGCAAGTAGTGAGCAGCGGGGTGTGCTAGTTGTAAGTCGTAGGACCAGGCGCAAACAACCACAGCTTGCACAGGGCATGCTGGATATAAACGCAGAACGGCTGCGCGTCTCGCTCTCAACTCGACCTATCCAGCCTCTCCGCAGTTAGTGTGTCCACTCTACAACATCCCGAAGCCCGAGGAATCAATCTGCAACCTGCCTACACAGACTCTGTCTGTCTCTGTTTGGCCTGGACCAAGGCCGCAGGCAGTCCCCGCAAGTGACTCAATTTGCGCGTGACATCTTTGCAACTCTCGGCGCCGGAAGGTAGAGCGAGTGTCCCACAGCGGATAGAGCTGAGCAAAGTTTGGACATGATGAGGCATCAACCCGTCCTCACCGGGACGAACATACTCAATTCATGTGGAATCCGTAGGAGCTGACCTTCTCCGTCTGCGAGCAGAGGGAGGACGGCTCTGCGTAAGCGTGTACCCTCGGAACGAGGATCGCAAAGATGAAACAACAGACACATTGAAGAACTCAATAAGCGAAGAGCGATGATAAATGACAGCCCACCCTGCCCCCGCAGCTGCCGGTACACACCACTGACACCACTATCCAGGTGACATCGATGTTTGTTTGCCGCTGTTCCTTGCTGTTGCGCTGCCGTCTGCTGCAGCCGTTCTTTCTTGCATCTTTCTTGAGGTTGAGGAGGTACACCTATACTCCTGTCTTCTGTTGCTGGGCTTGAAGATGAAACCAACGCCCCGCCCCGTGCAGATCCGCACAGGCAGGATGTTCTGTCTTGTCTTGATCTCGCACCGTATATAGCACGCACGTCATCAGAATTGATTCAAAACGGCACCCGTGTGTTAGCAGTACGAAAGGCTACGTGTGCTTCGTTCATATGATGCCAGACGAAATCACTACGGTCGTCGCTCACTTGAGACTTTGCGCAATGATGCGGGTTCAGCTACATGATCCACTCCGCCTTGTCGGCAAGAATCCAGTTGGCCGTCTGAAGCGTCGGATCTTTGTTTTTTTCGTACTTCTGTGTCACCCCGTTTCTAATTATCTCCCACTCGTGTGCAGCCAGAATTGCGAACTGAAGAGCACAAGCAGAATAAGCGCACTGAAACGGCGACCACAGAAACTACGCCTTGGAAGGGCCAACAATGTCATGAAAAGGGATAATGGTGCTTGGAGGCTTCGCGGCAGCCTTCAAGCCAAAAAGTCAATAGTCCAGCTCGCCCCATTACCCGGCGCGCTTTTCCACATCGCCGAGAGTCGCCCCCCGCCCAACATATTGTGGCTCACGGGGCCTCAATGGCCATCCCTGCCGTCCTTGCAGCGAGGTGTCGTGTCTTCGCTTAACCTAGGATCCAGAAGACAGGCCTCTGCTAGACGCACTGGAACGCTTCTCACCTCGCAAAGTTCTTGGCCGCGGCCTTGTCCTTTCGAGCTGACCGGGCACTCAAGACTCAAGCTCCCAGCTGGGCTCGGACACGTGAAACTAGGTTCTATGGCTTCATGTGCGGTCCTCCGAGGAAGCCAGGAAGGACAGACCGGTCCAACCCAGAGTGCTCCTGCAACCCGCTCGCAAAATCCTCGCCGAGTATGCAGATCTTTCGCTGCCTCAGCGCACAGTGGATCTGATTGGTGGCAGTAAACGTATTACTGCGTAAGGCCTTCGAAAGACGCACACATACCCTACATACGTACATACGCACATGCATATGATGCAGGGCTGCCACACCCCCCATTCCCCTACCAACCCCATGGTATCCTCCCCCCCTCGCCCAACTGTGGGGTGGGGCCTGTGGGGGTTCTTGAAGTTCTTGTATCTTACTCTTTATCTCCCTTCTTGCTGTGGCACTGGTGATACTGCTCATGATGTTGTGCTGCTCTAGACAGCGACGCGAGTCGACAATCGGATCATCTGTGACATCATTCTCAACATCACTGTCATCGTCATCTTCATCATCAGTACCATCAAAAGGATAGCTGCCACCATCACCATCGCCATACAACCCTCATAAGTACGCTGTGTGAAATTTGTCTGATGCGGGGGGAACTACTGCGCAGATTGCCGGTTTGCGCACGGGGCAGGGTGGGGTACCAAACGGGGTCGGGGTGGGGGAAGTGCGGCACCGCCAATGCGCGCAGCAGCAGGAGCAAAAGCGTGGGGCGACACAACCGCAACCCCTTTTTTTCATATAGAAACCTGAAAGCCTGAAAACAAAAGTGATGAGTTTGTTCGGGTTCAGGGTTTTGGGGTAGGGTCGTGATTCAGAAACGTCTTAGTTCTCGACACGGTTCCTGGGCGCGGATCTTAAAGTTTGGGTATTTCGAACTCTTAATCAAACGGGTACATTCTGCCGGACGGGTTTTTTAGGCTATGTTAGAACCTGTATACATGTCCGAAATCGTAAAACAAAGGGTTTAAGATACTTTCTTGCGACGACCCGAACAGTTCAGCAGGGATGGGCACAACCCAAAAAATATGCTTTCATAGTTCAATCGGGTGTTTGGACAACTCAATACTGTATGGGAATATGTTGGAGCAAGGTTGACATATATCAACAGGGTATTTAGATCAACCGGGCGGCTAGCGAGATTACATACAATGTATTGGAAGACTGTCTACATAATTTTAAAAATCTCTAAGAATCAAAGATGAGCAAACGAGGCTGGCACAGTAATGCTTGAAGTTGCTGATGCTATCTAAGCTGTTCCAATTACTCAAGGGTGAAATGATCGAAACACTGCGCCTTCTCAAGAGATTGAAATAATTCGAAAGGGTGCTTTGATGGGCTAAAGAGGGTTCAGACCATGTAGAACTGCCGAATTATTTCGACAATTAGGCATGGAGTCACATTAATGCAGATGGGTAGTTCACAAAACCTCGAGAGGTATATGTCGGTAAGACTGTTTAGAGGGGCAACAGTTGCAAAATGAATAAAAACCTGCACCATCCACAATCACAGGTACATGAAGCTACCTCACCATTTTTGAATCCTTAAAACTTCACATGAATCGAGAAGTTGTTCTGATAGTCTTGAAGCGGCTCCCGACGATTAGGACAGGCAGGCAAAGACTTGACATAGCAATTTCAACAGAAACTTTAGGTAGCGTTACGACATGTTACGACCAATACAGACCCATTTTAAGATACTTTCGACCCGAGACGGACGGCGGGAATCAGAAAGATTCTAAATTCTCTAAGTGGTCGACATTGCCGGAACGGCTTGAGTTTTAAGCCGGTCACGCAAGATTGAAGGTTCCTGCATCGGTTGTGCGGTAATCTTCGATTTAGGGGGCGGCTTGAAAAGCTTCAACGGGCTTGAGATTCAAGCCGGGTCCTTGATATGGCTCGCAACTGCTTGGATTTCAAGCCGATCCCTCGAAATGTGAAGGTTCAGACCTTACTGGGATTCTTAAATCTTCGCCAGCTCGGCTTGAAATTCAAGCCCATCCCAGCCGTTTTACGGATTCGATTTCAAGGTGCATAAAATCAACAATGTCGGTCGCAGGGAGAGCGTTTATGGCAGAAGGAGTGGATAAGCCGGGGGAGCTACCATATGCATACATGTATGTACGTATACGTCTGTCTACAACTACATTCATATATCTAGATATATATATATATATATTATATATACACACATACGTACATACACGTACGTGCATTATGTATATATACGCACATGCATGTATGTATATACAATTGTATGTATATTGTGTCTGCGCACGCATAATGTGGGTAGATGAATATGTCTGTGTCCCCAACTCTCAACATCACTGCCTGGCCCTCTGATTTGAAGACTGGGCGTGTGATTTCGAGAGGAAGGCTCGAGTTGGCTGCTGGGGTCCCGGCATGGCCGGCGTCAGATGGCTCTTTGCGAGGCCCCACAATTTGGCGAACACGAACGGAGCACGAATGATGGTCACAGAAATGTTCACCTGCCCCAGTTTTGTACCAGCGCCCTCGACTGCAGCGACTTGCAAGGAGACTGTTCGCGACGCATCCAAGATGCTGCCCCGGCCTCCGGGAAGTTGTTCTTCCCGGTGGAACTCAGCTGTGCATTTTCCCAGGGTGCTGTTGTAGTCTGACGATAGCCAGCGCCTTGTCTTAGTCTTTAGCGTTCTAAATGATGGAATGCCGCCAAGACACATCATCTTCCGGATCACTGCGCGGTGACGCAGAACTTGTGAGCCTAAACCTGTCATGCTGAACCGTTCACTGCTTCACGTCTTTTCCTCAGGCACAACGCCCGAATCCAATTGAGCTCGCTCTGAAGTCTGATCCACACCCCCGCCAGGGTGGCCTTTGGCATCGATGAGCAGCCGTGCCTGGACAAGCTGCTTGCGACCTGCAAGTTGGACATCGTCTTGCCGCTGACTGCTACAAGGATGTTTCGAAAGCTCTGAGCTGTATCTTGAACTCTTTTTGGCATTTCCGCCCGTGCGGCAAGCGAGCCAGACCGAGAAGAAGTGACAACCTCGATGCAGGGACCATGCATGTGCGTCTGGACACTGTGGACATAAGGAAAAAGTAGTTGCTGTCTGAAGTTCGATGGCTGGTTCACTTGACGACAGAAAGGGACTGATCTTCTTCGAAACAAGATGCAAAGCATGCCGTTCTGCATGCCCAGACCTGTCGTGTTCGGCACGAACCTTGGGAGACTGTAGTGCACACCAGATCTCAGGCATGGCAAACACATCCATGTCGAACCGAATGGAGCTTGGACACCATGAGGCTACTCTCCTGGCTTTGCCTCTGAATCCTGAAAGGATGGCCAAGAACCCTTAACATCCCAATCTCTTGGGTTCCGATATTGGTCGTTCATTTACTTGGACGGCCTACCTACGCCCACTCCGTGCTGCAACCACGCAGCAGACGGCAGCAGCCCAAGACCACGGCCTCCCCGGTCGCTGTGGCCGATGCTGCGGGACTTGCTTCCCTGGACAGTCGCATAACTCTGGGGCGAGGGTTGCGGCAAAAAGCCCAGCGCAGGATGGCGCGACGACTCCTCGTGGGCCATGCGCTGACCCACGGGCGGAAGCTTGAATAATATCTTAAGTCTAGAGATCGGCCTGCCAGAGCTATCGCAAAGAGCTGTAGCATCGTCATGGACCGGTGCAACATCAGCATAAAGATCGTGGGCACACGTTCGAACCACTCCGCGCAAGATCTCGGCCTGGTAGCCTTGTACATGAACTGGACCAGCGTTAAGCGTTTCTACTAGTTCCTGCCCTAGCTCATTGGCTGGTGTATTCTGGGGTGTTCCGACTTGGCTCACTGCCTGCCGGCTTTCAACCGCTTCTGCAGGCAGAAAACCCTTCAGCAGCTGCCTGCTTGGAGCCGAACCAAGCGCTTGCCCAGGCTGTCAGCGACTTCCTTTGAAATTCCATGGCTTCACGGCCCCTCATGCTGTCCCTAGCTGGGTTACGATTTACCCGAACATGATTTGGCTCCAAGCATCGCTCCCAAAGCCAGGGGCCCCCTCGTGGTGTGTGTTTCCCGCCTTGCCTCACGCCGTGCTGCCCCGAGCCAGTCTTCTTTGCCCAGCAAGCCGAAGTCCTCTGCACATGTGTGGGCGAGGAAGGTTTGACACTCATGCTCGTGCACCACTGGAAACTTCGCCCTAGAGGCACGAAGCGGAATGGTTCGTACGGTCGCAGCAGACATTCATGGCGGCATGCAACCGGCGCACCTCCAGCGTCAGCCTCGTGTAGTGACTCCTAAGTTCGGCAAAGCTTCTGTGACCTTCTGCCTGCGGTGGACCAGATCCGACTGCTAGGTGCGGGACCCCAGGTTTGGCAGCCAGCTCAGGGGCAGCGATGCCAAGCAGCCAGCGAGGCCACGCTTTGCACTGGCTCCAATGAAGGCAAAGGCAGCCGTGATCTGAGGGACAGGACTCTTGGAAAGACCGTTTTATACCATAGCAGCTGCCATAGCACAAACACGTAATATAGCATCGCTCCCCTTTCAAGCTGCGGGTGTGTCATCTGCTGTCATCTGTGCGTTTTTATTAATACACATGTATCCACGCCTCACCCTCGCAGGCATCCAAGACCTCCAGCGTGTCCATTGCAAGAGCGGCCATTGCCAAGTCCTCTGGGACATGCGAGAGGACTAGGGAGCAGACTAGTACCGACTACTTCTTTCTATCTGCTTGTCTCAGGTTGGGGCAGCCACACACACACACACACACGCTGTCTGCGCCTATAGCCTAGAAACCCATCTCTGACTTGGGCCTTCTTCAAAGCCACCTGCTCTGAGTCCCTTCGGCTGCTCCGGAGAGTCTCCCTCACGCGTCGAAGCTGCGCTCGTGCGCTGCGGAGTGTACGCTGCGGCAGCGCCAGGGACTGCAAAGATGCCGGCGTCGAGACCGATGCTTCTAATGCATTCGCGCAGAGAGCAGCGTCTGCTTCGACACTTTGCTGGTCCATGCGCTCAAAAATCTGCAGAACTAGCGCCCAATGACTTGGAGTCAGAGCGCAGCACACCTTAGCCCAAACTCGGCCCAGTGTGAAATGGCACTTGCTGGTGTAGAAACTCCCTGTTTGCCTGTCTGCATCACAGGTGGCAGCACCAAAGGCAGCTGCGTCCGCGGAAATCTGCCAAGCCTTGTCTGCGCAGTGGCTACACGTCGAGAGGCATGTTTCGTGGTCTTGAGTCTAAATGAGTACGTAGATGTCGGCCAGCCCGCATGGTTCGAGATATGAGCACTGATGATGGCCGTGGCATGCATATCTCAACATCACCCGCGCCTCCATTGACTCCAGCAAAGCCAAGCTTTCTTTGAGGCGACCCGCTTTGGAGCATGAAGCCATGGCCGCGCTACCTCATGGACCAGACGACACGACTCGTGCCCTCTTCCAACCCCACATGTTTGGGGATCCGAGTTGCAGCTTACAGCGTTCGGTGCCACCTCCTCATTCCTCATCGTCGCCAGCAGGGCCAGTGAAGCTATCCATGCGCTGCACTTTTCCTGGGGCTTTCGATTCGTTTCCACTCTGGCTGACCCCACAATTTGCCGCACCTCGTCGACATACTTGTATGTGACGCTAGTATCATGTTCATGCCACTTCGCGCCCGCACAGGCACAGGAACATCCAGCGGAATGCAAAACACAAGGTGCCTGTACGCATCAGGGCCCTCGTTCCTCCAGAAGTCCTATCGCCACTGCAATCTACGTGTGCGCGAAAGCTATGATATATGCTACGTGCCGGTCTTCTTTCTGGCTGCTTCTTGTCCAGAAATCTGCGAGACACAAGTTGCACGTATCTTCGACCGGTTTTCAAAGTCCCAGGGGCACAGGCGCTGAGCGCAGCGCTAAAGCCACGGACACCAGGCAAGCAGCTTTCGCAGCGCATGGTGACGATGAGCTGGCAAGCTCTCTCCCACTGGAGGCCTCGCACACTTCCCTGTCCCCCCGTTTCCTGTGAGATGCTCTCCTGCTCAGACCGTGGACTGGCTGTGCCTTTTTCACAGGCACTGATAGCAGCATCGAAGCTTCGCAAATCTGCGAGGCTACTCTGCAGCATATGGGAAACCAGCGCCTCAGTCCATGGGCAGATTCAATCGGGTCAAGGTTCGTATCTCAGAGGTTCCCACCAGGCTTTGGCGCCAGAAGCCACCACAACGCTCAAGGGCGCCTGAGACTTGGTAAGCCGCATCACATTTGCAAGCATGGCTTCAAAATACTTCCTCTTGATGGCACGGGGCTGATGACAGCGCTGAAGCCCGGTGTTGTTACGGCGGCGCCTGCTCCGCAAGCCAGGGCTCAACCCCCAACACCACACCTTCACCCCACCCCCTGTCTAGCTGATAGCTTCCTGCTCCCCCCCCCCCCCCACGGTGGGGATCACCTCCACCTGTCAGCGCACATCACACCTTTTGCCCTAAAAAGCCCACATCGCTCGGCCGAGGCTGCCTTGGCCAAGGAGGTGCCACAAGGCCAGCAGCGCCTGCTGCCATCGTCGGGAGCGGCACAGCGCGTTGAGCAGTGAGTTGCTGCTTTGCCTTCGAAGACTGGCATCCGGAGAGAGCTTCTTGCAACGGTAGAGGCCCCTACTGCAATTATCGCCCCAGCGGCTCATCGGCCGTCACGGAGTCGTGTTCATCCAACTCCGTGTACACAGCAAGGGCCTCTTTCCAGCAGGCCCCCTTTGCACATGCATTGATAACTGAATTGTAGGTGATGAGGTCCGGATCCGGTAGGCTCCGAGTTGTTCCTGGCAAGCCTGCGCGCATGTCTGCCTCGGGAACAGAAGGTACCGCTCAATCTACTTGTTTTCCCCAGGCAGCTGCACAACTACATGCTGCCAAATGCAGCAAAGACTCAAACAAATGAAGTGAACGATGCCACTCGGAACATCTTGCCCATGCCGCAAGCATGGTATTCCAAGTCACGATGTCGGGTGTCAGATTCAAATGCATTGCATCCTGTCAGCTAGCCAGCCAGCTTTCCCAATCCACAACTGCTGCTTACTCCGGCACCGGATGAGGTCCTGCAGAACGTTTTGCGCTTGCCGCCACCGGCCAGCCTGTCACGTTTGCGCACAAAGAAAGCTTTTGCCTTCAGCCTTGAAGGCACGTGGACTGCCAGTCCCGCGACCATACAGCTTCTTCAAAGTCAAAAAAAGCTTGCCATCACGCTGACGAAGCATGGCCGCCTTTCCACATGCTGCAATGGCTGCATTGAAAACCACAATGTCTGCAGAAGGTTGGACCTGCAGACAACAAGAGGTAAATCCGCCACGGTCACAGCCTGGCCTTTTGCTTGGGCACCTGGGCAAGGAAGTCCAAGGCGTCTTGCCAACGGCTAGCTGCTCCGAGGGCAGAAATTCTGACCTTGCTTAGCCGCTTACTTCGCCGGCACAGGAGAGCACAGGTCTGATGGCTTGCGGCCGAGCGACACTCCAAGCCTTCGGATCACACAGAAGCCGTTGGGCACCCAAGCCGTCGCTCTGCGCCAACAACTTGTCACCATCGGAGGGGCGGGCATCCATGGCGGGCGGTGGCAGGAAAGTGGTGGATGTTGCGATCAGAATTCTCACGGCAGCACAAAGTGCACGGCATGGCGAAAATGCTCTTCGAGGTTGGTGGGCGATCGCTCGCAACTCAACAACAGTATGCAGCACTTTGAGGCCCTGGCGCAGGGACTCCGCACGGCCACACTGCAGCAAATCCTGAAACAATCACAACCGGTACGAGCACAGCTCGTGCTTGGAACCAGTGGGTCGCATGCCTCCACTGTTGGTTGCCTTCCCATCGGCTGAGGGATCAGAGTGAAGCCAAAACATAAGAGTATTCGTATGTCGGAACAATAGTAGCAAAACATCATGATAATAAAAGTAGTCATGACCATGACCATCATCATGACCATCATCATCATCAGCATAGCCATGCTCATGGCAAGAATAGTCGTACTGATGGTAGCGTCGTGGTGAACATGTTTCATTGTTGCTGTGGTAGGCAAACCGTGGCCAATGGTACGGGCGACAGTGACTGCAAGAGGAACAGTAAACGTAATAGCAACAGAGCCACTCTAGCCGAGCATGTTGAGATCTCCAGTTCAGATGGCTGGGAGCCGTTCTGAATTATGGCTCAAATGCCTTGATGTACAGCGCTTCAGAGTTTTGATAGCTGTTGATCCCTGTTTGTTCTTTTTGATGTCTATCCACTCCCAGATCGAATCTTGGTCGTACCATGACGCATAATTGGATATAATTGGCAAAGTATTGCGGGCATACAGTCCTCGAGGTGCGAGACAAAGCCGCGAGTGATGATGGACACAAGATCCTCCCACGCACAGAAAGCTCTAGCTATACTATGCAACACTTTAGCAAACGCCCAAATTGCAGAATCCACATTATTCGCGCATCCGAACTGGTTGGCAGTGTCCTCGCGCACATACCTCGCAAAATGTCGAGCTTGTGGGAGGAATGCGAACAAAGCCTCCGCCCTAAACTTATCTCCTCTGTGTCGTGTCTCTGTGGCTCAATCCTTGTTTTTCGCCCAACAGGTCATACCGGGTTCTGTGTTATAGGCGTTGTCCTGCGATTAATGCCCGTCTTCGCTTTGCTGAGATATCCTCCATCATTACTGCTTCACTACTTTGCTCCCAGTACCTGCCTTCGCGTCAAGATTTCGCTGCAAATTCCGAAATTCAGAGATGGTGCCCATCCAAGTCGGCGGCACCCAGTCGCCATATGGCCACAGGCTCGCCGCCAGCGCTGCGCTGCGAGAGCCGGCCAAAAAAGCCTGGATGCGGCAAACCAAGTGCAGAGGGCTACGAGATGCTACGAGACTTGCAGCTGAAAAGCCGTACTTCTTCACCAGCGAGGCTTCTCGCGAATGCAACTCTGGATGCCAGCGCCAGCTTGTCGGATCTTCAGCCGCGCGATTGCCATCCAAAGTGTAGGGCTCACCAGTGCCGAATATCATCATCACCTGACAACTCGGGCGAAGGTGACAAATCCAAGCAGCTTCAAACTCGCCCAGCTGAAACCAGTCCACATTTAAGCCCACCTCACAACAGGTGCAGTTCTGTGTTGCATCCGGGTGGCCGACTGGATGGAGAAGGTTGCCCGCCATTTGATGGTGGCCCGATACATCACGGCAGCAGCGCTGACGTCAAAGTCACGCGCTTTGAGGAAACCTTGGGAAGTGTCATGCTCTGCGGCCCTGGCCGCGTCACGGATGTGTGCAATTCCTTCCGAATCTACATTGCAAGTCAGCCACGAAGTAACATCAGCCTCGGACATGGCATTCACAGCTTTGGTTGCTGATGGCAGGTGCCGCTGCTAATTCACTATATGCAACCAGCATCAACTAAGAACATAGCGCCACAGCACAGATGACCAATGCTTAAGTCTTTCGATAAGGGACGGATCGCACAAAGGCTCCATCTGACCCCTCGCAGCCACTCGCCTTCCAAGTTCGGCCACCTGCTCCAAGTGCCTGTCGATCTCGGGCAAGCTTGAAAACGCTTCATGCTTTCCCGCCATGGGTATATTTCGGCTAGATTCTAGATGCTCTGCTATTTTGAGGCCTGCCTTTCGCCGGTTCCGAAGCTTCTTGACTCTGTCGTTCGGGGACTCAGTTCTGCCATCGTTTGATACTTTGCCAAGTCGCTCCGCCGGAACGCCGGCGCGGCGCGCTGCAGCCAGCTCCTCGTGCGTGACTGCAGTAGTGAAGACGCGGTAGTGGGTGCGTCGTGAATACATAATTTGCCAAATGGATGTGCGACGCGGCGGAATCCAACGACCAACTAGGCTGTCAGATGTATGGCTGGAGCTTCATGGAATTCCATGGCGGATGCTCCAAACCGGCACACACAAGATCATACAGGTCATGCATGGTGTCATGCATGGTAAACGTGCAGCTTCCCCTGCAGAATCGCACGAAGCCACTCTCCGCGAAATCATAACGTCGTGGGCCGCTCCTCGTTGGCTTGAGGAGGCCGCCCAGATGCACAGTTCCTGTCAAACCGACTGCTCGCTGCCTGTGCCCCTGCGCCCCTGCCTGCATGTTCGATCAATTCCGTTTTCAAGTAATGTCAGACCCACCAGTCTACAACCCTTTCCTTCCTCGTCTATGATAGCCTAGGCCCCAGGCCGCTTCAGTACTGCAGCACTTTCAACGGTTCGTGCAGGCCGAAGCAGGAGGCTTCGAAACTGCGTGGACGCTTTGTGGGCTGTTCGCGCCTTAGGCTTCTCTCGGCTTTGCTGTGCGGTGGCTGGGAGCCAGGTGGGAACGTGCCTCCACCCTTCCGCTCACGCTTCTGCCCGACGTTGAAATCCTTGCTGTACCGTTCAGAATAGTCCCAGTCGGAACAACCCTCCGGTGAGAAAGGGGTACCCAGAAACCCAGCTCAAGACGTGTCCCAACACGAGCCATGGTCACGGCCTCTGTTCGGCACCTCTCGGTGCTGGTTGCGCCGACGTGTCTCGCCACCAGAAATGCCGAAAGACCGCGAGGGAAAGGAACCTCGCACATGCATCATGTCGCGGACTCGTGCTTGCTGGGTACAACCTGGTCTTGCTCGTGCACTTCATCTCCAAGAAACACTGTCCAGAATACAAGGGCTCGGTCAGCATAAATCCATGCCGCGAGCAGCACCGCCGCAACGGCGGCAAGCCTGACAGTTTAGCGTGTCATCGCAAAACGAAACACTTCCTCGTCTGCTGTTACGGCGATGCAGCAAGCACTGAAAATCACATGCCCTGTGAAGAAGTACCTACATAATAGCATATCGCTCGCAGCACCACAGCATTATCACCATCATGGTGGCAAGAGTCTTGTCCATGAGGAGGATCTTTCCAGGGCTGATAAACTTGGTGGCATCCGCCGCCATTCCATGGGGCACGGCGCGATAAGGCGACAGAGCCGGTTCCTCCCCTTGCAGTTCTTCGGCACGAGCAGTGCTTGTGCAGCGCAAGCTTCAAAACAGCTAGCTAGCTAATGAGATCAACCCATGTCGGACTGCAACTTGATTTTGGAGTTGCAAATAGTTTCCACTGGCAAGTGCTGCATGACGTCAATCATGCCCTTTCATGAAAATTGCATCCCTGTGAGCCACAGCGACGGTAACTGATGCTGAGGTTGTGCTAAGATCAGGACTGTCCATATGCCACAATCACGCGTTAAACCATTGAACTGTGGCTGTGCGACGGCTGGACTTCTTCACACCAGATTACAACCAAGACTGGGTGAGAATCCAAGCCCCTGACATCTACTGCCACCTCAACCTCAAGCTGAAGCACTTGTATGTCCTGGAGATCTGACGCGGTCAGCAGTCGCTCTCCACCATTACGCTAGTCTGGCACGCTGCTTGAGTACCGACGGTCTGTCACTCCTCTCGCAAGAGATCCGAGAAAGAGCCAGGGATGTTGGCCAGAAGTCGCCCCAAGTCCTACCATCAGTCTGCCAAAGAGCCAAGAAGTCACAGTGTCAAGTCAAGTGATCCTGGAGGCCGTCCTGCTGCGAAAGACTTGCACACAACGAAATCCTCCTTGGAAGTTCCGATCCCAAGACCGCGGGCTGTTCTTGCAGTCCGGCTCTGCAAAGGGACAGGGCGGCAATGCGATGACCTCAGCAAGTCGCTGCAGGTAGGCATACCAACTCTACAAATCGACAGAGCGAGAGAGAAAGAGAGGGATACATGCATATTATATATATATATATATGTATATATATATATATATATGCCGGGAGAGAGGGAGAGAGAATAATGTAGTAGACAGACTAGGACATAAGACCAAATGACCCAATATCGCGAATATAACATAATGCCATATACTGTATTGTAGTCTAGTACAAGATTAATATAAATAACGTAACGTAGTAGAATACACTATTATGAATTATATCGCGATATAATGTAATATTTAACGTGCTCTAAGAAGGAAAATCATGCTATCTGGCGCAACATGCTGTAATTTGGTGTAAGATAAGAAGAGATTGCATATTCTACTCTAATAAAAGCTAACATAAGATCATGTAAGGCCATATACGCAATATAGAACGATAAACAATAATATCAGATAACACGAGGTAGTACAGTACAAATGGTATGAACGCGTATATAATATATATATATATACACGACCATACATGCATATATTATATAGAAAACAGATATCATACATGCGATGTGTCGTGCATGTGTGCGCACGCATGCATGTGGGTGGATGGATGGATGAATGGATGGAAGTGATAAGCATGACAAATGCATCCACATGCGGACATGTTTGCTTCCATGCCCAGGCATATGTCTGTATACAACTAAACTGAGTACAAAAACATCTCATTATAGGAATGATAGGTACATGTACTGTACCTACGTGTGTGTGTGTGTGTGTGCCCCACCCTGCCCAAAACAGTTCCATGGTATCTCGAAAGCCCGGTTACCCCGGTTCTGGGTTTTCCTGTATTTTGATAGTTTTTGAGCCTGGCGGCTCTGCCGACATTTCCCCGTGTCAGGCTTCGGAGGTTTGCGCATACAGAATTGCAAACGTACATACAGCCAGCCAGCCAGACAGATATATGTAGGTTCGGTACGCTAGCTTCTGACGTGTATTCCTCTGTGCGCATGGTCAAGCACTCGCCGAGCCACTTATCTGCGCTGTTCCAACCTGAGGGCGCTGGCCGACGGTGTGACTTTCGCGCTATGATCGCGGGTACTTTGTGCGATCAAGTCGGCAGCTCACCAGGGCTGCAGTGAAACACTATGTAGTTCAAACTCATGCATGGATGCATCACGTCCAGTGCTCTACGATGGCTTCAGGACCTTCTCCTCCAAGTCAGGCAACGCTTCTGCCTCAACTCGCCCAGGCACTTGACACGATACTAAGTCCGAAGTTGCACTGCTGGAAGCAACAGTCAGTGCAAGCATCTGAACTCTCTCGCTCCCAGGGCAGCCCAGAGACGAGCGCCACCCCCTGCCAAATATGTTCATGAGTTCGGTATTCTGCTCTTGGTGTCATTGCTATGCTGTGCATATGCCAGCTTCTTAAACCACATCATGCAAGGGACTCCTCCCTCTCATCCCCTTTGGCTCTACTGGTCAGACTGCGCGCAAGAGATCCTTGTCAGGCCCCGCTGCGAGCATCCACTATGCATCAGGCTCTTCAGCTGCATCGGACGGCCGCATCGGGCTTCGGGGATCAAGTAACACATTCTGTTATGCGCTACGCCAGGCAGAAAACCTACATCGAACGTTGATTCCTCACGGTGTTGCCATCAGCCTCCAGGCACCATGTGAGTGGCGCGGGTGCTGCCAGCGCCGCCACACGCCGCCTTCCTCGCCGCAGCAGCCACACTTCATCGCGGGCACGGTAGCCTCCAGAACAATCCAAAGCCAGTGGCCGCACTCCTCGCTACTCCGATTTCCTGCAGCACTTCCAGCCAAGGTGTGGAACCCATCTCAAAGCCAAGCCATTGGCTGCACTGGCCTGCCAGGCGCCACCGGGCATGGCTGTGTTTCAGCTCGGTGGTTTCCCACGCAAGCACCTGGGGAAAGCGGTCTGTTGAGTGTGCGTGGCCAGAAGGCTTCTTGTTGTGTCCAAGCAACACTTTGTGGCACCTCATGATCTGGCAGCTCCTGGAACAACAGCACTTTTTCCCAGTCAGAACCGTTTAACCGTTTCCGGCCCGTTGGCATGATTGAATTGAACCTTGGGGCCTCGGGACCCCTCGAGACAGTGCCGCGAAAAAGCTCAACCTCTGCTGCCGCACGCGGTGAGCAGTTGCGGCAAGTAAGTTGCCACGCAGTCTTCAAGCCAAGCAATGAGCCGGGTCTAACCCTCCTGCGACACGAGGATCTCCACCATGTGGCGTGCGGAGCTCGCAATATCGTCTGGCTGCGGGCCCAGGCCGTTCAACCTGGTTACCTGGTGCTTGAAAGGTGTCCAAACTGCTAGTTGCACATCTGCCATTGATGCTGTACCAAGTTGCTGCAGCTACAGCAAGCGGCAGGGCGATGGCCTTTGCTCTGGCTGGCTTGCTCAGCCTGGCATTGCTTGAAGTGTCACGAATCCGAGTCGCGGAAGCCAAACTGCAACGAAGAAACAATGCCTCTCCGCGACATCTCAGCCCACTGCCGAGATGCATCTGTCAAAATGCTTGAGACCCTGTGCGAGCCTGCAGCCCATCACGAATATCAGCACCGCAACCTCATCAGCGGGCCCGACAAACCGTCGACAGCAGTCAGTAAGCTAAAGCCGAAACGTGCACCTGCAACTGTTGACTCTGATTCTGGCTGTGCTCTGTGGGCGCAGACATTGCAATTTTTCTCAAAGGAGAACCAATGGAAAAGCTGCTCGCGACTCCGTCCCCATGCCACAGCCCCGACCTCCAGGAGCAGGTTGGCGGCACTGCGAGTCCCGTGCAGCTCAGCGCTGAGGCGGGAAACGTAATCCTCACTGAGATGCTGTGAGGAGACGTGCAACTGCAGACAGTCTGCGAAGGTTTTGCAGCCAGGTCTCAATTGAGGAGCTCCATGGAACTTGTTGATTCGAAGGTTCTGAGCCAGGAGAGTTCGTCAAACCTTTCACAGCTTGGCTTCCGAGCGCCTCTGCCGGCGGCCCAATGCAGGGCTCTCCAAGCGCGGAGCACAGCTGCCCGAGCAGGACACCGGATTTGCCTCCCATGCGAATTCGCTGCTCCTTTGACGGCAACTCGGCTTCTCAAGTTCATTTTGTGTCAGGCGGCAGCACAGGGTCTTTCACCAGCGTGCTGGCTGCTGGCAGCAGCTTCTCCTTGACACAGCACACCAGTAGCTTGAAGGCGATGTTGGAACACACTGAGATTCTGTTGAGTCGCAGTTTCGGGCCTGAGAAGCGACGGGGGTTTTGGCGTTCCACGGTAGTCAGCCGAGCACATGCCATCCTCCAGCCAAGCTTCCGGAAGGGACCACTGAACGCCCCCTTGCCGTGACTGTCGGCGAAGTCGGGGCACGCCATGTCTAGGAGCGTTTGCAATGCCTTGCAGCTGAGTGCCCCCCAAACGAACACGGAAATTTAAGTCACGCGCCCCGCCGCGAGTGCCAAAGTTGCGTGCAAGCAGCACGCAGTCCTGCCTCTCTTGGCAGGACCATCAGCTGCCTGGCGAATAGCGGGTTGTTCTCTCGCTATGCACAAGGACCTACTGGTTTTTCCTGCCTCACTCGCACAGATTGGCACGGTCATGGCATGGGAAGCCAAGGCTTTGGCCCAAAGCACCTGGCTTTCGTGAGACGCAGCCATCGTCTGAATGATTTTTTGCAACGTTTGTGCCGATGCGCTGGCCTGGTGTATGGCTTCCCACGGCAAGTTTCCGGAAGGGTTTCGCCAGCCAAACTCCTCGATATTGAAACTCAATTTTGTTTCCATGCGGTGAACTCGTCGATCCGAGCATCTCCCCATCCTTCTGCCGCTCGCTTCGCCAGCGCGCAGCTGCTAGATGCTCAGCAGTGCGCCCATGCAACGACAGCGCTTCAGGAAGCGCTTGCGTGCCTTCTCTCGCTCTCCGGTGTGCTCGGGACGTTTTCTCTCTCCTTGTCTTTTTTTTTTCTCTCTCTCTCTCTCGCTCTCCCCAGCCCCCTGTGCAGCAGCGTTCCGCCAGTGTTCGTGTCTGGTTTGGTCGGCGTGAAACTTGACTGTGACATACCCGACCCTCTCGCAGCCTCCTTGATCAAAACGTACCCAAGGAGGTCCCGGGCTTTGGGTGTCGGTTTTCACGAGCGCAGCTATTTGCTGTTGGCCCCGTCATTGCGGGGACTTGTATCGACAGGCTCTTGTGGTTACAGCACAATCGCACACACACACACACACACCAGTAAGGGCATGATCCACCTGAGTAACACTAGGAGCTGGGCCCCCGACCCTATGGTTGTTGGGAGCTTTATGCGGCACGAAGATTTTAGGAGTTGGGGAAGGATTTGCGCAAAGGGTCAAAGGGCATAGAAGGGAACTCACTGTGCTGATTAGGCTACTTGTGCTCGAGCTCCCTGCAAGGTTATGTTTTAAGGAAACACAGATATAGGCATGAAGAGCTTGCGAAACTGCTGTTTTAGGTTACTGACCACTCACTTGTGTTGATAGTAGATGCGGGTCCTCGCCCTTGAGGACAGGAAACAAAAATTCTCGGAAAACAAAACACAGTAGGGTCAGTAGGGGGAACAGTTCTGAAAGGATCCCTGTGTCAGTCCAACCTTGGTCCTTGGTCTAGCCCTTTACTTGTTGTGAATAAAGACACACTCGGAAGGCTACCACACGAAGAGGCCTTCCGAGTGCGTCACAAACGTTCAGCTGAGGCAACCTAGCTATCGTCGAAAGTCGCATGCATGCGTCGTCTATGTGTCGTTTGCAGCTCCTGTGGCTCCTGTGCCACTCGTGCGGTGGCGGTCATGAAGGGGAGTCGCTCAAGTTTCGATGTCCCGGTGTAGCCCCGCTTGCCAGCTTCTAGTAGACGCCCACTTGTAGAGGTGTGCCACTGGACTGGCGCAGCTTCGTCCAGGACACTGCCTCCGGTTCTGTTGTCATCGCCCCCGGTTCTGATCCGGGGCCGGTTCCGGTAGCACGGCGTGCTGTGGTAGAGGTCGGCTGCGTCGTCTCCGTCGAATGTCCCACATCTTATCTTCTGTTTCTGCGCTGGGTTTCTAATTCCATTGGCCCTGTGAAGGTGGCTGGCTTCTCCACTTGGTGTTGCCCCCGCCGGCGTCCACAAGGTTGGTGTTGGCTCCTGTGGAGTTGGTTCCGGTGGCACCCAAGCCACTGTGGCCGTGAGCTGGGAGTCGTCTTCACATGCCGAGCGCGGGTGCGCCCCCGACAGTTGCGCGTGCCAAGCTATTCCGCAGCACTTCAACCAAGGCATGGACCCGAAAACAAAGAAAGCAAAGCTATGCAAAGCGCACATAAACAGGATTATTATCACTGCCTTCGTTGCACAATGCAAGCAGGTGCTAGCTGCAACAAAATCGCCTCCAAAAGTACCGGCCAGGGTATACTAGTTTACTAATTAGTGTACAAAAACTATAGTACCCCAGTGAGGGGGCGAAAGTTCGAGGAATCCGGAGGCGAGGCTCCGGCGGCCCGTCTGAACTAGTGGAAAAATTGAACGAAAAAGGGTTTCACCCATAAATCGAGGTCGGAGAGACAGACTGTGCCGAACGAAGCCAGGCAAAGCATGCAGGCCGGGGCACAGTAGGCATGCAGACTGTCGCTGACGTTGGATAAAGAAAAGCAACAGAAGGAGACTAAGAACAGCATACTGCTCATGCAGCGAAGCAACCTGGATCGGGGTTTTCCCCTTCATAGACAGATTTTTGTCCGGGGTTTCCCCCTGCAAGAGTGAAACTTGGAGAGCCCCTCAAAGTTGTTCACTGTGCCTCGCGTTCACGCTTCTTGCTCCAGGTGTCAGTATCTGGCCTCCAAGATCCCTGCTGGCGTTGCTCTCGTCTGTGGTGGCTGTAAGCTTCCTGGGTAGCCTTCCTATAGGCTCGCCACTTTCCTTCGTCCGTCGCACACTGGTCCAGACAGCAAGGGGCTCTGCTCTGGTCATCGCATTGTTGTAGTAGCTGATGGGGACGGGCCCGCTGCCGACCGGTGATGGCAGGAGGTGGCCCAGTGGGCGAAGCGGGAGCAGGGGCACCACTTCATCATACGAGGCATCATGTTCAGCTGCAGTCGTCGTGATCATAGGGGCATCTTCCTCCTCTTTAGCATCGTCGTCTTCGGCGAGTTGAGTCTCGGCTGGTGCAGTCGAAGACGTCCGTGGTGCGGTGACGGGTGGAGGCTACGGCTCGGCCCAAGTTCTGTGGTCACGTTGTGACCTTAGTCCAGAGTGGGGTTTACCCCAGCTCTGGTGCATAGAAGAAAGGTGTTCCTGGTGGGCACGGGCAGTCTGGTAGTGGGGCTCGTTGTTTGGGTAGGGCAGGATCATGTCGTCCTCGACGGCTTCTTCAGGGGCTGCCGGGGGTTGTCCCCGAGCTGCAACGGGTTGCTCATTCCGATCGTCTTGTCCAGGTGGTGGGGCTGCAGGCGGCGTTGGCTCTGGCACGGCACTGGCGGCTCGGGCCTGCATCGGGGTAAGCATGGCTTTGGACGTCGAAGTCCGAAGTCGAAGTGGGCACTTCCGCAGCGCGGCTCTGCAGGGTGAGGGTCTCCCCTTGCTTCAGCTGAGGTGGCGACGTGAGCTCAGCTAGTGGGCCCTCCACCGCTTGGTAGACGCTGGTGCTGCGCCATCTTTGAGGGCTTGCTGGACTGTTTTTTCTATCTCCCGCTGCCTGAGAAAAGCCTGTACACAGTGTGGGCCCTCTCGGCGGTGTTCTCCGCGGTGTGACGGGCCTTTGAGGCATGGGAGGGCCATCATAGGGGTGCCCCTGTTTCGCTCATCATTCCGTGTGGCATCTGCCATCTCGTAGGCAAACTTCTTATTCTCAGCGTCCCTGCCAATTTCACGATCACGACGGTGATATATTCCCCGCTCGAGGTACACGTTCCCCCGAATCGCAAGGAGGCAGTTGAAGCCCTGTATGTTCGCCGAAGGCCTTCAGGTAGGGGGTGACAATCTCCCGAAGCAACACGATGTGGGGAAGCGATCACCCTCCGGGAACGTTGCAGAAAGAGCTCCCCCCGTTCAGCTATCGCGGCGAAGGAGAAGAAACTAGAAAGGGCCACTTAAGCCACCGGACTGTATTGCAGACCGCACCGCCCTTCGGAACACCCCCTACAAGTATGCGCACTCACAGCCTGGACCAACCTGCCTCACCTCCCCAGTAGCTCTGCTTGCACCCGGACTGCGAGCAAGAAAGCAAGGGCAACTCTATGAACAACGGCCTCTCCCTCTCTCTCGACTTGAAGGCTTCACCAACAACGGCTTGGCTGTACTAAGAACTGAACAGGCAACAATATGTATTCAATATGAACCTCTCTTTTTCTCGCAGTCGCTTGCAAAAAAGCGCTGGCCTTGCTCCAGGCGCAGCATCTCTGCCCGCTGCGAGCACAAGGTCGCCAGCGCTCGTGGGTCCGGCCGGTAGGCCCTCTCGGCCGCCCAGCGGCCACGCTGCAGTGCATGGCGCCTGGAGGGGGTCAGGCAAGTAGACGTCACTCCAAAAAATGGTGCTAGCGACTATCATATGTTATAGCTGATTATAGCTGGGGCCCCCTCGCAAGCTCGAGGCCCGGAGAGTTCCAGAAGGGCACCGCCAGGGCCAGTCTGCTCTCGGCGGCGGAAACATCAGAAAGCAGACCTCGTCACGGAAAGCTTCTTCTTGCTGTTTGAGGAAAACCTAGTTGAGCCTTTCTAGCCGGTGGGTGCCGAGTCCCGAGCCGGCCAAGTCCAGGTAGGCGTCGTGCCCGAGCCCAGCATCGGCCTGTGCCATCCAAGCCATGACACCGGCTCGCAGGGCTCGCCTCGCACAGCAGAGCACGGCAAGTAGGAAGACTGGAGCTTGGCCAGGCCTGGAAGCCCAGAGCCGAACTTCCTGCGGATGTCTTCTTAGAGCTCTTCCGCATGGAGAGCCCAGAGGTGAGATCAGAGCCGGCAGGCGAACCTCGGATGTGCGACCTGCTCTCTGCGAGACCTCCGTGCGAAGGGTTATAAACGCCGAGTAGCTTCCCGACACGTTTCTCCACCGTCTGCCCAGTTCACTGTGCAGCATTCGCTGGCCTGCTTGAAATGTGTGGGGCTGCTGCTCTCCTTCCGTCCACCGGCATCCGGCCTCATCAATGCTGTCGATGGTTGCTTCGTACTCGAAGCCATCTTCTGCCCACGGGGCAAAGACGACATCGCCTGACACTATATGGTGTCACATACTAGTACCTGCAACCTGCAAACTATAATTCGATAGAAAGCGGAGTCGACTAAGCTGCTTAACAGTTCCCACAAACTTGTCTGTTCAATCTTGCTGGTATTCCAGTGCGACGCGTCTGGGTATCTGCAACGGCATATATGCAAAGGATATATGGATATATGCAACCAAACTCACACACACTCTGAAGGGTGTCCGAAGCCAAGGTATTTCACTTTGGCAGGTTTGCCACGATGGACCCCCTTCTTGGAATAGCAGGATTTTCCGCTTTCTTGACATGTAAGGCGTGGCGTGAGGAGTTCTCGTTTTGCAGAACTATAGAGCTGGGTACTACAGGTAGTACATGGCTGGCCACGCCACCTGGCCCTCAACCCCCGACCATACCTCAAGGGAGGGGGCATGCATGTATGTGTGCAAGTACGCATGCATCTATGCGTGTATGCATACACGCACACGTATGTACTGGCACATACGGAAAACGGTACAGATGGGAGTCTGCATGTGTATAGACGGACAGAAAGGCAGAGAGACAGATAGGTCGGATAGACAGCTGGATAGATAGGTAGGTAGGCAGGCAGACAAGCAGGCAGGCAGGTAGCTAGTGAGTCAGTAGATAGAGAGGCAGATAGACAACGAGGTAGACGCGCATGTGTATGCACCTACACAAACATATGATATATATATATATACACAGACACATATATGTACGCACACACAGACACCAACGAACATGCAGACGGAGAAAGATCAAGAGACACACACACACACACACCCACAGAGACATATACACGCATGCATGCGTACGAAAATAGCAAAACACAAGTATGTGCGCCTCGAAGTCTTGTGGTCTGCGAAAAAGGTTCTGAAGCTACATTAACGCACTTCTACGGCTACGGTTATCGATTAGTAACTGCTTGCTTACCATTCTTTGAGAGCACAGACCAAACCATCGACAACATCTCGCTCTTTCAGGGACGATCGACGATTCAGGCGTCCTGGTTGAAATACTCGGTCTTCCGTGCCAGTGGAAGGAAGGGGCGAGGGGCTGCGAAGCAGAAGAAGGCCCTCTGCCTGGAGTCGCAGTGCAAGAAGCAGAGTCCTTCCCGAAGTGCAGCAACTTCTGCTCTTTGCTTACGGGCCACATTATGTGCCGCCACTTGCAGTATCGGCGACCCGGACGGGCCAGAGCGGCACTGACGGAAGCAACGCAGCGCATCGTCAAAGCGTTGGGCGCGCACGGCCCGGAAGCCTGGAAGGAAAGCACTAAACCAGAAACAGAAGGACAGAGCTTGAGCACCACACCTACATTCACTCACGGCATGCCGTTCATTCACGACGAGCCTTCGGACAGCGCTGTGACATCAGGCCGCGCGACAGTCGAGAATCGCCGCTGGCCTGTCACCCACAAGTGCAAATACCCAAGATTTCTTAACTGCTACATTGCTACATGCGTTGGAGCCTCGTGCAGGTAATGCAAAGCGCTCGGCTGCACGCGACCAGGATGCACAAGCATGTGGGATCATGCGGGCTGGTTAACGATTGTCCTCTCTGTGATAAAAAGCTCGGGTAGGCTGTCTGACGTTTCAATGTGCTACAGGTCTTGGATTTGACTGGACGACCTCTTGAAGCCATACTGCCATACAACTACCGCACATGCAAATTCCGAGGACACCGGACAGGAGCAACAATGGGGTCCCGACATGCAGCTAGCTCCCAAGGATGAGGGGGCCAGAAAACCTCGCAGACCGCTGGACATGCAAAAAGTCCTCAAACCTCTCCCCTAAGACCCTAAGACCCTAAGCTGCGCGCGCATTGCTGGGACTCCTGGAGCAGCTGAAGTGCATCTCTGGCCTCGCTGGACAACCCAAGCGTTGGTAGTGCCACATTCTGCCCCTGTGATCTCGTATATAGACTCTCTGCGGTCTCCTTCCAAGGCCTCCATCAACGTCAGATTCCCTCCAACTTTTTGCTTGTTGTCAATCAAACAGCAGTCAGGTCAGGTGAAGCTGTACGTGAGTGTACCAAGTGTCGATCTCGTGCGACACATAGTGAGCAGGCATCAGATGATGCCCAGTCATGGGTGCAAACGTAAAGATCCAGACATTGGCTTCGATCTTAAAACCGAGAAATATCTGTACATGTGAGCAGCGGTTGATTCCTGGAGCATGTCCCCGCCGCATTCGGCACAGACTCAAGCTGCAGGACTCTTCCTGGGCTTCACTGATCCTTCTTGTCAACTGCACTTGTCCCTTCGAAGCGCGGAATCTGCATGTGCCTGCGAAGCTAGCGCTAGCATTCACCCGCGCAGCAATCCTGCAGACTTGCGTCGAGTGTGTCGAGGCCTTCTCAGCATCTCCAAAGCGGTGTCCACAAGAGCCGGCCGTGAGAAAGCCAAATCGCGGAACTCTGCAAAAGACAGGTCCTGCAGAGCGGCTGGAGCGAGCTTGACCCTGCTGCTCAGATCCGATCCCTCAAAGGGGATTTGAAGAGCCAAGACCAGCAGCCTGCGACACGGCGTCGCCATCCGTCAGCTGCGTTACAAAGCTGCCAGCTGCTCTGCCAGAGCCCTCCATGTCCTCTGAGAGGCACACGGACGCGGTCTAGAGCACGGAGGCGGGTTTTACGGCTTTTGCGGCTTCGCGGCCGCCACAAGGAAGGCAAGCTGCAAGCGGCTCGACTTGGAGCCACGGCCTGAGAGCAGCGCTGCCACCTCAGAGCCCAGCATGACAGCACGACTTGCAAACGGATCGAGTCGCGGCCTGAATGAAGTCTCTGTACTCGACAGCTCCACTTTTATCCTCACCAAGAGCTCCGGGCCACAGAGAAGCATTGCAGACGGCGGCGATGCCTGGTCGAAATAAGCGAAGAGAGCCGCCTGAAGCCACAAGGTACTTGGAATTCGCAACTGTTGAAAGCAGGCGATGCACGATTGATCGACCCAGCGGCCTCTTGGCTCAGGCGCCCAGAGCCGCCAAGACCAGACAGGGCCTTGCATTAAATCTTCGTGCTCGCTCAGAAGCGCCTAGGCTAAGCCCAAACCGAATTAGTTCAGCCCCTGAGTTTGGATGGCATCGCGAGATCTTCTGATGACCAGGAGTTACTCGCATGCCAGCACCAGCAAATCTTGCAAGCTATAGCGTTCTTGATCTCAAGTTTCGGCTGGCTTCTACTGCAGGGCCTGACAAAACTCATCGTAGGCTATGGCCCCGGAGTCGCTCCTGGGATCCACACACAGCCGCAGTGCCATGCAGTGCCCTTTGCTCGGCCGGCGCTTACCAGCCGAGTGTCATGTTGCATCTCTCGAAGGATCGCAGCACGCCCTTTAAGTCATCGGCGCTGCAGCTGTACTGCTGCTTCAATCGTGCCACCTCGAACAGCCAGAACCCGTATCATGTGAGTTGGCTCTGGCATAAGACTGCCGTGCCTCGAAGTCGCTTCCAATATGCGCACGCGAGCCAAAGGCTAGGAAAGCATCTTCATAGCTCTGTTCGGTGCATGGGACACCGAGACGTGCAGCCATGACCTTAGTCAATATTTGGCATGACTGCACCCCGCGGCATGAGGATGTTCGGCCCCATCAATAGAATACTCAGCTGGTTGTGGCAGTCAGGAGGCTCTCCTCACGTTGTTCGCAAAGAGCCTGTTAAACCGTAGCATTAACTGTTGAGCCCAATTCACAAAGCAACCAAGTTAAGACATGTACACGCAAACCAGGGCACCTGTCATCTTCAATTTCTTCTGATGAAGGTGCCTCTGCGGGACGAAATTATCGCACCTCTCTAGCCGACGAGGATTCAGCATCGTGCGACAGCTTGTTAATGCACAATGCACAGGCCCCACGTACGTGTCCAGGATTTCGATCTGGCACTCGTTCTTGAACTGCAGCAGAGTTCGCAACAGAGCGGTTCCCAAAGCGTGGTTCATTCCACAGCCGGCGGGGTTGTAGTGCCTGCAATGGGACATTCCTGCAATCTAACGCCAATGTCGGATCCCTCGAACCCTTCCCATGCAGCCAGCACACTCTCAGCCTGTGAATATAGCACGACTCTAACCCTAGTCTGGTCTAGACAATCCCCATCTACTGGTACTTTACAAATACACTAGAAGTACACTACTAGTACGTACCTTACTGGCACACTACCAGTACTCTATCAGTACCAGTACTCTACCAGTACGCTACGCGTACTCTACGCAATGTAGTGCTACAACAAATCCTGCACGGGTAGTAGCGGTTGAGCCCGGATACTTGGAACGGTCGTCTCCTTTCATGGTATTGGCCCTTTCTTGCTGGGAGCCCCATGCCTCCACGGGTATCGCAGGCACACAGGTACGACCGGCACTCCCGGAGAAAAAGCGCCGACGTTGAACTGCGTGAGTGCGAAGCCGTTGGTGATGACACCCTTTGCAGCACAGAATTCTGGCACCATGCACGGCGGATGGGTTGGCAGCCAGACTATCCAAGCACTAGTGCACGAGCAGAAAGGGATTGGATCTCGACTCCGTCCTGGGGGAAGATCATCATCGGCGGTCCGTGCCAGGATTCTGATGTCCTGGCTTGGATAGCCTCTTTGCAACTGCGCCTCGCAATGATGACAAGTCATTGGGAACAACTGATGACTCGGGAAACGCTGCTGCTCCAGAGACGTTCCTCACAAGACAACACTTGACCTAACAATCCTGCCTGCTCTCTGGATTGCTACGGTCGACGAAAATGGCCTGGGCCCCAATGGCCAAACTCCTGACAGAACAAGAGTGTGCGCAGAGGTGAGCTGGGGTTGGCCAGGTCGCCTCATCACTGGAATCTGAAGCAGACCTGTCATCCCCACGCCGCTGGGAACAGGCGGGAAGGCCACACCGATGAGCAGCGAGTCTAAAGCCTTAGCAACGTCGAACATTCAACAGGTGCCACAGGGAGCCCCGTCGAAAGCATCAGCTGAATGCACTACACAGGTGCAGAGCTCCCAGGATCTGCCAGGAAGCTGTCACGTGTGGCCTCAGAACAGCATGTCAAATCCCCCAACCTTGCGATTCTGGTAAGGGTGCGCGTGCGGGCAAAATGGGCGCAGCGCCATGGTATCTTTTTTTCTCCGCTCGCACACGGCAAGACTGGAGTCATCTTGAGTCACTGAAAAATCGTCGCGGGAGCTCACAGCCTCAGATATCCTATCGCAGTTTTAGCAGTCTTAGCAAACTCCAGAAAATTGTTGTTGTAATTATGCTGTATGTTGGTTCGCCAAAATGCAAGCAGTATAAAGGATGTCCCACTGCCGTGACCCTATGTGACCCTGGTGTGCTGACAGGCCGCCTCTTGACGCCGCCGAGACCCAGTGCGGACAAGTCGAGCTCCACCTTGTGCTGAAATGGTGCGCTGAAAATGGAACGCATCCACAGAGCGCAAACGATGCGGCACACAACCCACCCAAGTCATCTCTGCACGAAAACGCTACGAGCACTTTGAACCACGTACTTGGATAGAAACTAAAGAGATCTTGTCGGCTGCTTGAGTTGAGGTTGTACAGAGAATCGGTGTTGAATCCCTTATCGCCAAACTAGGTTATCTTTTTTTGTGTTACGCCTCCTCGCGTTACAAGGTATCAGAAAGGACTATCACTTTCGACATGTACGTGGAACAGGCTTGGCTCTTGCTGGGCTGCAGCCCCATACGACCCATCTACAGCTACGTATCCCAAGAAGTCCATAGGTCCTAGAAGCAGGTTGCCAACACCTCAACTCGCTAGCTGGCACGCTCACATCCTTCAATGTCGTTTTGCTATCGTTTGCCTCGGAAATTTGGAGGTTTCATGTAGCAGATGTAGCAAGCCTCCAAGCTTCGGTTTGCAGAGGTGCAGCATGCAGAAGCAAGTGCAGTCTCCCAAGCCTCAGCCCCTCAATCCAAGCCTGAGCTTGTACAAGTGCGACCTCTACAGCCTCAGTTTGCACACGGCCGGTAGCAATAGCAGTGGGCGTAGTAGCAGCAGTCGCCGAATCATAATGGGAGTAGTCACGTATTCACGTAACATGCATTCTGCTTATCGCTCTACAGGCTTCGCCACACCAGGGGCATCTAGATTCATCTACAAGAACCCCGCTTGTCATACAACCTCAGCTGCGGGTGCTTGCTGCAACTCGTGTCGCGAATGAGCAGCCACTGACAAAAACTGAACCACGAAAACATGGAACCTAGCATCAGGCATTCGGAACTGCTCGCTGGGGCTCGCAGCGGAGTTCGAGTTACTTTTCTTTCGTAAACATGTACCATAGGCATCTAATTTCGAGCCCTTTTGCAACTGGCCTGCTGCGACTCCGCCAGGACGAACACTTGACCACAATCCCTAGTGAGTAAGCGACTCGTGCGCTCAGGCCAAGCATCCGGAATGATTTCACATGTAACTATGATCTGCCGAAGTTTAAAGAGCTCTAACGTCACCGCATGCAAAATGCATGCATGCATGTCATACTGAGCTGTCTGGAACTACCGCAATCTCATCCGCTGGGAATTGTGCATGTCAACTTCAATCACAAACCTTCAGAACAGAACTGAGCCGCCTGGAAGGCGAAGATCCACCTGCGCAGCATCCCCAAGAAACGCAGCACCTGCATTCCACTGAACTGCGTACAGGTGAGGCCCTGAAGCCCTAAGGCAGCATTTTTGACATGGGGAATAACTCATAGACTCATATCTTGAGCGGGGCTCAAGCTTTGGCGATCGAATGATCTGCATCTGGGGAGGTCTGGTTGCTAATGGTTCCGGGAAGAGCGAATGCAAAAACACCATCACCAAACCAAGCAAAGTCCGGAAGGAATGCAGGTGCGGTTCCACTATCTTTGCTGCATGCTAAGTATCGATATTC